ACAGCTCATGTCATCCAAAGTTCATGGGATCCCTAAAGCTACCGAAGCATATTACTAGGCCATGCATTTCCTAGAATATTTCACTTTCGATAGTATCAGTCTCTGAAATCAGATTTTAACTTCTTGAAAGTTTGCCTGACACTCTCCGAGCATCGCTGCGGTTGTAATTCAATAAGGCTTTCACTTGTATCAAGATCAACAAATCAAGCAATGTACTTTAAAGACAGTGGGCACAGTGTACGTGCGGGCGGTTGCTCCCAACAACATTGGTGAAAGAGCGGATGGGATGGACCAATGCCCTCTCGGCACCCGTCCACCAGTGACGGTGACAGCAACCGCCCCGTCATTGTGCCCGCTGCTCCAACTGAAGAAAGCTCAGTAATATCAATGGTCCACATTACTGGAACAAGGGTCTCACGAAGAAGCACAGCACCCGACATTATTTTCAGTTGTTCACGTTCTTTCTTATGAACAAAGTGCCCTTTTAACTATGACACTGTTAACTTTACAGCTAGGAGACTATTAGAATGAAAACTGAAGCACAACGATACACGGAATTCGACTGGTGTGAACTTTCCAAGCATGATTATAGGTGATACCCTTCACTTTTTTGATTTTTCTCCAACTAAGGACAATCTATGGTCTATAGGTAATGGTAGCTCAATGGAGATATCCCAAAATTGAAAACCCATAAATGTCGCTATGGTGTATGCAGGGAACCATTTTTCTGCTCAGAATGACCACACTCAGTCAAAGCAGAGCATAAAACGGGGGACAAGCTCTTGTTCACTGTCTTGGCCACCTTAGAAAGTAGAAATACGCGGCTCGCAAAAACAGAGAGTGAAAGATTTTGTCTAGCTTTCTTTAATGTTGATTTCAGAAATGAATTGAAATTGCTCGACGCGTTGACTCACTGGTCAAAATATTCACAGGATTTAAGCTCGAAGCAGTTATTTTTGCTGGAACTAGCTCCACTGAGAACCCCTTTTGTTAGGGTGAGGTTGAGTATTACTTTTGGAGAACATACAACCGGATGACCACTGTTAACTCTACGTCAGTTAGGAACGTTGCGCGAATTCAATCGAGGGCCCTATTCGATCCCGAAAAGAGGGGTCGTTTCTGTTCCCGTATGAATATTTTGGTTGATTTGCCCGTCTTCCATATAACTATCTAGTGGGTAACCGGCGAACTAGTGTTTGCATTGTTGGCCGAGGGTGTTCCCCCCACACCACGCTCGACGGCATTTTTTTAGAAAAGTTGATGGGATGGTACAGTCATGATCCTTGCGAACGATAGGATGCGTGACGGGGGCATGACTTGGAGCGCAGCCAGATCACACCTTCCACAGTTGTAGCGGGGTATGATGGCATCATTGGTGAAAGAAAACCACCTTTGGCTGCGCTGCAGTACGCGGTGCGTGAAAAGCCCTATCGTCTGCAGGAATCGCGACTGTAAGTAAATAGTTAGAGAAGATTACACCTAGGACCTACATTTCAGGGGATTGTACCGTAACAATGTCATTTCACCCTTGCCGATGTGGTCCGCTCCGTGCTCTCCGAAGTTTCTTTTTTATTCGAATCTTTCCAAAGGGATACTACAGGAAATAATGATGTGTGAAAGCTGTTGAATCGATAATTAGCCATGTTTACGAGTTAGTATCAAACCAAATATAATATGCATGAGTGAAACAGGGCCTTCATTACACTGAACACGCCGCATTCCTATTACTCTACAAAGTTTTACTCATGATTTGATGATACGAGGTATGTTGAGTCCTAGTTAAAAAGTCCTCACATTCCCAAGACATAATCTGGGAAAGCAGAAGATCTAGCTTACGCTTACCTGACTTATCTTCATTTTTCGAAACGAGTGGGCCCTTTCTGAAGACTGTCACTGATATAAGCAAGTTCCTTGCAGCGTACCCATTGAGTCCCCCGAAAAATCGATTACGCATTAATTTCCAAGAAATAGATCGGTTTACGGAATGGTTATTTCCTGTTTTGTTCGCTAGGAATTTGCCATTCTCATGTGATGTCCAGGTTCGCTATTCTCGCAGACCTGGACCCAAAAGACTTCGGCGCAGTTCGACAACAGCGAAGAGCGCGGCAGCTTTTCACTCCGCTTCCTCGTACTGCTATACAAGAGTGAATAGTTATTCTTCGCGAGAACTGAGGAGTAGTTCCTGCAAACTTTCAGAGATTCCACTTTGGCTTCACAATATTCCACTCGATGGCTCAACATGTCAATGGGAAGCAGCGAAAAGGCAAAATGCTCCCCCCCTGTCGCCGAAATACTCGAAACCTTTTTTAGGTGATGTGTAGCCCTCCATAGGAATGTATCAAATTCCGTTCGAGCTATTTTACGGGGCCCAGATGGCAGTCCCATAGTGCAACCAGGGTAGGGCATCGTGTTGTGTGAAATGGTGGTGTAGGTACGACCCCGCCCCTCGAGAGAGGGTGTCAGTACGACCCCTCCCCACCTAAATGAGGGTCTCGGTACGACCCCCCCCCTTCCTTCCCAACACCTACCTACCAATTTCTCACATTTTCCAGTTTTTCCCCTAAAGATTTTCCATCGAGGGAAGTATCAAGTCAATGTAGAACTGGAGAACTTTCGATTCTTCCCAACCTCCTACAAGTTTTTCCGAAATTCCCATACTTTCCTCCGAAACTTGCTGCCGGGAGGCGGGAGGTATATAGTACAGATGAAACAGGAGAAATCACGCGGAAGTCAACAACCGGGAAAAATTTCCCACCCAAGGCGGCAAATTTCTATCAAAGGTATATACGAACCCCCTCTCCAGCGGAAAAGTACGACCCATATGTGTTTCACGCAACGATACTATACCCTGACTGCAACACCTACCAAGCTCTAACAACTTTGTGTGGTCCCACGTTATCCAGATGGGTTGCCTTATTCCGGGACAACTCCGTTCTACTTCCTGCTTCGTGTTACCCTGTTGAATACAGTATTTCTCGGAACTGCATACATTGTTGCCAATGGAGATTCGATCGTTCTAGCGGAGCACCCTCAAAGGCAGTTGGCACGATAATTTCATGTACACTTTGAAAAAGAGCAAAGGTGCCCAGTAATGCAAAAATAGTGAAAAAACGGGGCGAAATGGTGGGGAAACCACGAATGGGGGCTTTATTTCTTCGCTGCACTGCGGCAGTGGACGAGCGAACGGCTGAGACAGGCGCAGCTTTACGGGTCTACTGATTGAACCGTTTACTGCTGGCAAAAAGCCAGCAGTACGTTTTACACGTTACACTACATTACACGTAGGCACGGGCGGTTCAACGGCCCATCCTCGTGCTGTGATGCTATACGTCCAATGGTAGGCGGGCGGGCGAGGTGGGCGTCCGGGTCGGTATGTTGCTGCTCAGTAGGGCGCTATAAGGGTACCCTCCTTGGAAAAGGCGCTACGCAGCGCCTGCTCAGGGTCGCGGAATTCCGTCCTGCCAGGCGTATTAATCCTACTCGTTTTGGGATTTATCGTGCAAACTGCCTTTGAACCAATCTATACGAAATGGCCAGAAACAGTTGAAATATTACGGGCCCTCCCTATCCAAGACAACAAGACTGCTGAGCTAAGAGAACCTTGTCTCCAGGCAGGACTTGAATGCGCACCTCGTGTGAGCTACGGCAACACTGGGACATCATCATCGCAAAAGGTCTACTGGAGCGCACACTACCAAAAAAAATAAAGTGGCCCAATCAAACACTCATAAGCTGTTCGTGCACTGCACATTTGCAGCATCGCCACCTTAAAGGCCATATGCCTTTTTCGAGAGTGAACTGCATTTCCGATCCGATTAAGTAAAAACATTATCGGCCGAAAATCACTATGTTGGTCCTCTAATTTTGCACAAGCAGCACACAGGATTCAAAATATGCTGACATATAACAAAAATTACACTGGAATCTTAGCTGTTTCAGAAAATATTCAACCCAGAAGATATATTTTTCTCTTCCTGTAAAATAGTTGCATCCAGAATCGGCAAATCTCTCCGAACAACCCAGTAAATGACTTGATAATGGGAGCCTACTTAGCCTTCCCCGATACAAGAAGTAGTAAGCATTAATTTGCACATTCTTTTAAACTGTTCAAGCGCAGCTGTACTCGTACAATTTAAAAGAGTTCCAGAAGAACCAGATCAAGACCCTGACCGGGGAATCCCACTATAATATTCGCCTCAGTCACCAACCCCTCGAAGTCTTTCCCTTCCTCAGCTCACTCCCTCCACTTCGATTTGTCTCTAATCTCATTCCGCTCCATCTTCCCGGGGCAAATTCGCCATCAGCGCTCTACGAGAAGACCTTTTCACGTCACTGCATCAGATAAGAGTTCCTTTCATGAACATTTCATAGGCCGGCCACGAAGTTGATGAGATGACGCATTTTTTCGTCACCTCTTCACTGTATTTCGTGGCAGACAGTCAATACCGCAATGAATTGTTTAATGTTTCGCCCAATGGGATCCTATCACACTGATGATTTCTGGCCTCTTCAGAACACTTTCTGATGATTGGTCCCTTAATCTATTCGATCTCATCTGGCCGACCATTGGAAAAGGACGAGTGGGAAAATTACGCTCAGTACATGATAGGTGGCTGTAAAGTTGGGTCCTTTGCAGCGGCTCAGTTGACCGAAGATCAGATCCCTATGGATGGAACAGATTTCTCTCATATGCACGGAACTCAAGCCAAATCACATACAGGTTGATCCCTTACTCAAATATAATCGGTAATTCTATCAAAGATCAGTAAGCGGGTCTCTTTGTGGTCTCGCGGATCAACTGAGCTATTAAGCAAATACTTTCAGTTGGAACTTATTCATGGCTTTCATCAATAAGCAGAATCTTGGCAGCAAACGTATTTGTGCTTTCGTGAATAAATGAAAATATACAAAATTTACAAGGCCTCTATGAGGAAACAGATTTGAAAAAACAAAAAAAATAGTTGTAATGCTGGAAAATTCGTTGGGCTTTTTCACAAAAACTAACCGATGATCGCCGGCAGGTCTGTTTCAGGCATATCATTCATGAAAAGTCCATTCAACAAGCAGCTTCTCAACTGGAACAGCGAATGCAGTGATAACGTCGCCACATGTGGTTTTGACCAGCGATTGCCACCTGAAAATATCATCCCATGTTCGCTTTTTTCCCAGACGAACACTCCAACCGTTGCTCACCCTGCTCGACATCTTCTTCGAATTTCACCCAACGTGCTGTCTCCCTCCATTCCTTCAGGCCTAATTCGCCCATTTCAGTAAACAACGCCGGCGTGTCATCCTTCTCCTTCAGCAAGAACATGACGCGTGTGCCGGGCGCTGAAACAACAACCGTGCAATAGGAAAAAAATCACAGGAATTTATTTGAAACAGTTTCTCAGACGACGGTGGCATTCTGGGAGATGAAATTCCAGATTCTACAGCAAATTTAATTGAATTTACATATTTTTTATCAAGTATTCCATTCAAGGCTGCGGTGGGGTAGTGGAAAGTGGCACCTTACCACACGCGTTGTTCGTGAACCAGGTCCTGGTTCGATTCCCGCCCCGGGTAATCAAGCCTTCTACCCTCCGAGCACGGTAAACCGGTGCCAGACTCGTCTGGGAGGAAACATTGACTTGGACATGATTAGTCCCCGCATGTCATTGTATAGGCCACATCGCATTCAATAAGCCACTACGATTCTGAATGGAAGTAGAATGCGTGCCGCATCCCACAAATGGGATTAATCTAGATTGAGAAGACTTTATCCTTTTCATTGATCCAACTCAATCCAACTTTGCCGTACTACTCGCAAGTTATTTCTGCGATAACCTCAGACGCCTCTGACAGCTAAAAATAAAAGCGCCTTTACCAAAAAAATACTTCACGGAACCCATCACAACTGGGCAAACAATGCGGCAAGATAGTACCGTTTTTATCGGCACTGGCCACCATCAATTTGCATTAAAACTGAAAATATACCAGGTTTTCGTGTTCTGTGGATAACGGTTACTGTCGTATGATCTCTTGCAACGACGCTGAAGTATTTGCAATCACCTGACAATAGATCACCTACTGCCCCAGCTCGTTCTGCAGTGGAGCACATGGAAGCTGTTCACTCCCTAGGCAAAGTTGTTGATGATATCTCAGCATAAGTAAACGCTGGGTGGGGGTGTTCGAGAAAGGAAAGCCGACTACAACGCGGGCGGTCCGTGAGTCAAATTCTGGCTCGACTTCCGCAAGAACCATCCAAGCGTTCTATACCGCCGAAGCCGGTAGCTCGTCTACCAGACTCGTCTGGGAGGGTAAATATCCTGAGGGGTGTCACTACATAGGTCTATCGCAATTCATTCTATAGGTCTATCGTATTTAGAAGGCACTATGATCCTGAATGGAAGAAGATACACGGCGCACCATAAAAGGGATTATTCGGGCAGCGATTGTGACAGTGAAGGGCATAAGGAACATGTACCACAAAAGCAGGAACTGCATGAAAACAGTGCCAGGCGACGATTTAAATGTTTGCGCACAAAGTTTAATGGAGTTTAATTATGGATCACTATCCTCTGATAAGGGCTAGCCAGTCAAAGATAAAATTTAAAAATAGCTCCACTTAATTTGTGAAGTGGAAAATTACAGCTTCTTCGATAGGTTTCATGTAATTAGGTGTATTCTTCAAACCTCTCGAAAGCTGCCATTAGGGCTCATTAGAGCATGCCTGCCTTTAGGAGCCGTTCCCTTATTTTCAACTTCAAAATAGCGACTGACAAAGCCACGAAGTGACTCATTGATAAAATTCCCTCTTCTTCAAATATGGCACACTCCAAGGCCTTTCTCTAAGCTATCTGTGGTATCCAAGACGTCCACGAACATGCTTACCAGAGAAGCCCGCTAATCTACCTACTGAACTTTAACCCATTGCGTACCGCGTGCTGCACATGGTGAAGCACGCTTCGTTTGAACTCATTTAGCATTTTTAGATGACTGAAAAGAGTCGGTATATTCCTGAAGTCTTCTGGGACAAAATATGTGTGGGGGGGGGGGGAACTGCGGGATTGAATAATAGCTAAGTTATTGGCATTTTCCGAGTACCTCAGGTATTATATTCTTTAATTAACTCTCCTTTACCATTAAAACCGAAATCCTGCTTAGTACACGACTGAAAAATTGTAAAATGGTGTGAGTGAACAGCTTCTAAGCACACTGCGTCACTTTTTCAATTCTTCTTAATTTTATCAAGCTTTTTTGGCTAGTTTCGCATTTTTCGGCTTTACACTTTTATCACGTAACAATATTGAATCCCGTTTAGCATACGTATACATATAAAAGTGATGCATAATACGATGTGTGTACAATATTTTTATGTTATATGTATAAGATAAAAATCTCGTGTTTATACTCAGCGCGCCACAAGTCGCGTCGCGCAAAAACGCCGCGTACGCAATGAGTTAAATGGAGACCTAGGTCTGTCGAAATGGTGTTTACAATTATGGAAACCAAAATTGCTAGCTGCAAGCAAAACCTCTACATTTGCTGAAAACTGGGCACCAGGGCGCCTGTAGCATGGAGGCCTCTACATTTGCTGAAAACTGGGCACCAGGGCGCCTGTAGCATGGAGGCCAGGCGTTTTTATGTAGAAGATGCGATATCCGTGTGCAGAAGGTTAAACTACTCCTAGAGATCCGAGGTTTCAACCGAATCAAGACTATGACCAAAATGTTGAAAAACTCCCCTTAAGGGTGAGAAGGTATTCAGACTTTTCAACTCCAGATTCGTTTCGAATTTCATGCGATCAAAGAACAAAACTGTCTGATGTGGGAAGAACAGCGGGGCATAGCGCTTGCAGGCGTATTATAAACTGGGATTACACAGTTTCTCATGAAATTAACAACACATGCAAAAGCATCGTTGAGGGCGAACGGCTGCGTTCCATGAACGTACGTACTTGAGTTGTGCTGAACCGCCCTTGACTTGACGTTGTCTTATCTAGCACTTAACCTGCTCACACTTTGAAAACTTGGATAAAGGTTTATGTAGGTGATGAGGCAAAAATTTCTACACTAGCGGGATGAACTCCAGCTGTTACCGTTTCTTAACCTAGAAACTTACCACTGCGCTACAACCATACTCGTGACTCTATCAAGTGGATATCTTTCGGTGCCATAAGTCTAATGCATGACTAATGTAAATTTTGAGAGCTTATAAATCTCAGAGTCCTAATTTGCAAAATGCAGGTGCGGTTTTGCCATTTTATAAATAGTATTCCAGACCTTATCGATCTACCTAAGTCTCTGTTCAATGTTCCAAGGTAAGTTGGCGGACCTTCCTGGTCAGATACCCGGTTCTCGCCAGCTCCGTCACTCTATCCAACTACCGCCGCAGAGCGCCTTCAACAGTGAAACCCTGTCTACAGAAATTACTATGCGCGTGACATCTCTGGAAATAGCAGTGATGCACGCCTTGCACAGAACTCACTTGCATAAGAAATAGAAAGAAGAAGTCGGTAAATTCCACGAATGCCATCTTCTTGAAAAACTATTCAATTTTCAGTCTAACGAAATCCCCTAGCCTAATGGGCTGGATATGCCGAACAGCAAATGCAGACATACTATTCTTCGAAAATGGGAAATCCGATGAAAATCAATAGGAAAGCGCTGCGAAACGCGCCCATGCATAAGACACACTGAACCATTTTTTTTGAACTACAATATGCTCATTACATATTAGGTTGTCCGGAAAGTTCTGCAGTTTTGAGTGTTTAACTTTAAACGATCATAACTTTCTTAACACTCATCGGATTTAATCCAAATAAGCACCATTCGAATCAGCACACTTTTGCCAATGTGACAGCAGTCGAGAAATCCCATCAAAGAAAAAACTGGGTGGTCGAGAATCCACGAAATCTACGAAGGCTTTTTTGCCTGGTCCTGATTGATGAAGTATTTTCCAGCAAGGAAGTTCTGAAAATGTTTGAAAAGGTGATAGTCGGTTGGTGAAAGGTCTGGAGAATATGGTGGGTGAGGTAGAACTTCAACCCCCAATTCGTTCAATTTATGGATAGTGATTTGTGAAACGTGTGGGCGGGCGTTGTCATGCAAAAGAATCGGACCCTTTCTGTTGACAAGTGCTGGCTGCAGCTGACGCAATTTTCGGTACATTTCGTCGATTCCTTCACAGTAGGGTTCTGCTGTGATGGTTTGGCCTGGTGATAAAAAGTTATAGTGGATCACACCAGCCGATGACCACCAAGCCGTGACCAGAATCTTTTTTTCGTGAGGGTTCGGCTTTGAAAATTACCTCGGTGGTTCGTCGAAATCCAACCACTGTCTCCTGTTATCATACATGACCCATTTTTCATCACAGGTGACAATTCGGCCAAAAACAGGTCGTTTCTGCTGCGCAAAAGCAATGCAGAAGGAACCTCGAGACGTGCCGATTCCTGCCGGTCACTCCGATTGTGGGGCACCCAATTGTCGAGTTTTTTCACCTTCCCAATGCGTTCCAGACCATCTGCAACAGTGGATTTGCCAACGCCTAGCTTTTCTGCAATCTCTCGAACTGTTTGGGATGGGTCAGCCTCCAAAATCCCCTTAAAATCCTCGTCAGATATTGCTTTAGGTCGACCGCTATGAGGTTCATCTTCAAGGCTGAAATCTCCAGAACGAAATTTGTTGAACCATTGCCGCACAGTGCTTTCTCTAGCACTATTGGGCCCCCACACCTGGTTAATTTGTTGAGCTGTTTCGATTGCGGATTGCCCCAATTTATAGTCGAAGAAAAAATCGTCCGAAGTGCTCTTTTCACATGCTTGAAAAAAAAAAAGGGGTTCATCAAGCAATGGTGAAACGGCAATTATACCATCAGATAGCGCAAAGAATTCTCTTCAGGATGTACTACTGAGACGCAAGGGAGAATGAGTTTTTAATCAGCAATGAATGTGCAAAAAATAGTAACACAAAACCTGCAGAACTTTCCGGACAACCTAATACTTCACCACTACAGGGTGTGTTCATGTAATAAATCCGAGCCTAACTCGGTAAAAATTACTACACAGCGCAGAAAGCCCTTTTCCTTGGAAGTTCTGAGCAATTAAAGAAGGAAGGCTGATTGCGAATTCAGAGGGGGAACTCCAGCGTCTGGTAAAATTACAGAGATAAATACGCATAATGAGAGCAACGAACAGCGCTACTCAGAAAATACCTTTGAAATGTTTTGACTAACCTCTTGACAAACAATTTCAGTGATTTCAGAAATCACTTCTAGAGTAAAAAGTAGTTGAATATTAGCTCTGTAGAATCTTATAAGAGTCACAAAATACTG